ACCAATCGCCAATAGGTATGTTGCACAAGAGAAGCTATAGGAAGTGCACAAATACCTTTGAAAATACCATTGACGCTTTCTGCCATGTTGGATGTCAAGATAGACCAACGACCCCCACCATTGTAGTTATCATGTGCTAAACTTCAACGAATCTTATGTTGATCCACCCAGTTATCACATGAAATATTTCTATCAGCGGCCACCTTCTTAAATTGCTCAACTTGACGATCAAACTTCTCCAACCGTTTTTCTCTGGCTAACAAAATAAACCACCACACGGGTTAGATAAATTCATGACAAAATTGTATGAAAACAAATAACAAAATTAAATGAAGAAAGCTTACCGACTCGAAATAGTTTATTATACATAATTTTGCTTTTAGTCTTCCTTTGCAAATTGCTTGCATAGTGTCGCATGCACCACCTCCACTCCCAACCTCTTCCGATGTTATTCATGGCTTCATAGAGTCCTGCATGTCTATCTGAGATGATGCATACATCATTTCGATCAGTCAAACCCTGAACATTCCTCATGAACCATGGCCAACCCTCAGTATTCTCGCTCTCCACTATGGCAAATGCAATTGGAAAAATCTTCTTCCGGCCATCAAATGATCTCGCCATGAGTAGCACTGCTTTATACTTCCCAGTAAGAAATGTTCCATCAACAACCATGACGCCTGGACAATTCTTGAATCCATCTATACAAGGTCCATAAGCCCAGAATACTCGCTGAAATATTGAATGACCTGGTTGAGTCGAAGGAACTCTTACCCAATCAATCACCGATGTTGGCATTTTTCTCTTGACCACCCGCAAGAATGTTTGCAAAAAATCGTAGGATTCTTTTCAATTTCCATGCAACTTCTCCAATGCTCTTTGTTTCCCATACCAAGCCTTCTTGTAAGTAACTTGCATATTAAACTTATCTTTTAACTCGGCCTGAACACTTAGAACACTCAGATTTGGTTGGGCACGTACCAAATGTTTGACGGCCTCAGATATCATGTCGACATCAAGATGGCGATGATCCGTCGGTTGAGTCGTACTGCTACAAGAAGGCACCAACTCAGCCTTTCTCACTGTCCATTCGCCCCCAACATCTCGACATCCAAACCGCACCATCCAAGGACAATTGTCATCCTTGTGCCTCAAGCATCTGACCTTCCAGATTGAAGGTGACGACTCCACCACGCCATATTGAAAGTTGCGTTGTAGTGTGTGGTGTTTAATCGCCATCTGTGCAGCTTGTTTCGAGTGAAATATCTGCCCCTTGTAGAATTCTCCTTCAAAACTATCAACAATAGGCATTGGAATTATGCCATATGAATCAGCAAGTGATAATTCTTCGTCCTCTTCATTACCCTGCAAGTAAAAATATGGAGGATAATTAAGCTGCTCTCCTTCCTCCTCCTCCTCCTCATCATCCTCCTCTCCGTCATCACCGTCATCATAGTCATGATCGGATGGCACGCTCCATGTATCATCTTCTTCCTCTCCACCCTGATCCTCACTGAGCTCAACATGTATCTCAGCACCCAAACAATAAGGATTTTGTGCCATAAAATTCCAAAGCACATTCAAGCTATCATCATCCACAATAGGTATCGCATAATGAAATAAAACACCATTCTGCCATTCTGGAAGACGGTAAGTGAAACTTGTGATCACATCACTATCTTTTACTGCTTCGTCTCTGCGCCGTATTCTCGGAATTAGATTCTCACAAAGTTTGTGATATGTGACCCTGGATGGAACCGTCAACTGAAAACTACTACCACCAACGAATTTGACGCCCAAATTATCCTCTACTTTCTCCGATTTCCACCGAACAACTAGTTCAAATCTTCTAAAATCACTACAAAAAAACAAACTCACTAATTAAAACTAAACACAATCATAATAGCATTTGAATAATATAATTACAAAAATAAATGTGTCTCTTACCTATTAGCCATTTTTGCAGCAGCAACCAGAGCTCTCTCCTCTATTTTGGACGATTTTTTTAGTGGTGTGAATCTTAAACGAAATTGTCTGGGTTTTATAAGGTGGGTGGCCAGCAATAAGCCAGCGTTGCCACCTCAGTCTCGGGCGCCACCGCCTGGGATGATTTCCCACCTACTCGCCTAGGTCTTAGGCGGTGCCGCCTGAGTCTTGGGCGCCGCCGCTGTCAACTAAATAAAACGGTCCAAAAAACAAGCTAAAGCGGCAGCGCCTGAGTCTCAGGTGGCCTCGCCGATTCTTTTCTCCAAAACACAATATCTGTGTCAATACTTTTTAATTGTCCATATTAGTGGTAAGTTAAAAAAAACAATATTTGTGTCATTGTCCCAAAGTTGCGGACGTTTCTGCAAGGCTGACGTGGAGTACCCCTTTTTTCTCAAACTCTTTAAATATTTTGTAAGATAAGGTAAGATAAGATTTTAGTAATGTTTTTCTTTTATTCATATAAAAATGTTTTCTTAAAAAAAAATTCTCCATTCCATTTTGTGATTTCAATATGTAAAGGCTTCATAAGAATTCATTTAACAAAGATTGTAAAACCGTATTAGAGTTTGTACCAAAAATGTTAGTAATGTGGTTTTTATATTGAAATTGTGGTTCAACTATTTTATACTCTTAAAATTACCTACTAATTCGAATTCGGTAAGCGATTATTTCGATCAGGTAGTCAATATAATAAATTTTTTAAAAAAGTGTAGTTTAATGGCGGAAATTAAATTATCATTTTTTTAATGAATGGGTGTTATTTTATATCATAGAAATGGAAGATACTTTTGAATTTTGACAACAATCCTGTCAAATGGGTCACCAACTACAATAAATCACTATCTTTTTGTTTACACCTAAAAATTATCATGTACCACATTGATGATTTACAAGATAATTAATGCTCTTATAAGGTTAGATTAATTATAATAGTTAATGTTGTTTAAGTTGGGTCTCATGGGTTTTCACTTTTAAGCCCAAGCCACCAAATCCTTACGAGCATGAGCATGAGTCAAACGAAATATGACCCTCTTGTAAGAGGTCATATCATGCCGCGAGAAAAATAAACCATGATCATTAAGTCGTATATCAAAGAAGCAAAAATATTACGTCTAGAGAAGTCCACGACCATGTTGCAAGAGGGGCTATGGGAGTGAATAAGAAGTCCATGGCCATATGCAAGAGGGGTCATGACTACGAATAAGAAGTCCATGGCAAGAGGGGGCCATGGGCGTGAGTGATAAGTCCATGTTCTTGTCTCCCCTCATGATCACGAGGCCGCATGCCCAAAATACAATAAGTCTTGAGAATGGGTCATGCAATGAGATCATGCTTCATGGTCACACGACTAAGAGCGAGGTGACCCTGTGGTTGTGACAGATGACCATGTGGTCCCAAGACTAGAAGGCCATGGGTGCGAGGGGAGAAGCCATGGCAGCAAGACAAAGGACTCCATGGAGGCAGTCATGCCATGAGATCAATCCTCATAGCCACGAGGTCGTATGCAAATATACTAAGTCTTAGAAGGCATGTTAAGAGATCATGCCTCATGACCAAGTGGTCGTGAGTAGCAGTCATCGGACCGCGAGCAAGGCGACCATATGGTCGTAAGTAGACAATCATGTGGCCGCGAGGAGAAGACCACATATATAGGCACGTTAGGAGAGGGCAAAAACCCCTTCGCAAAACGACCACGAGCTTATCATAAGACTAGCTTGGTATGAGATCACATGGACACAAGATTTGGAACAAGACCAGGCGAAGCAAATTATACTCTAAGGCTCATGATGATTCAATGAAAGGCACATGTCCGCTTGAGAGAGAAATTGCTACTCATTCCATGTTCAAGGATACATTAGCCATGTCCAAGGAAGAGAGGAGCGTTTCTTTTTTGGGAGTTATCCAAACAGACAGTTTCTACGACAGTTACTTCCCCATGACTATAAATAGGAGAGGAGGTCGACTGAGACAAATTTTCCCAAAACCGCACAACTTACGCCTACATCAAGTTTTTATTTTTCCTTTGCAAATGTAGTCAAACTCGTAGTTTGGAGCTCTCATTAAACCTTCGTAGGAGTATAGTAACTTAATTTAGTTTCATTTCCTTAAACCATCAATCAAACACTCTTGTTCGAACTTTGTTTGAAAAGGTTTGGGTCGTGTCTTAGTAATCGTTGTTCAAATAAAACAAGGGGCGTTCAATTCAATGCAAGTTTTACTATTGGAAAACAAATTGGCAAACCTAGTGGAACCTCGTGTTTGATTTGATGGTTGCAATAAGACGATCTTTTACAAATGGAAGAGGATCAAGTGACTAACTTCAAAGTTAGCCAAGTATCAGAGTTTGTTGTCGGAGGTAATGGTGGGGTGGAGGCATTCTGAAAGAATGATTGGTATTAATTTTTCGAGTAGAATTAGGGATTGAGATTGGGAAGACTGGAATTGGGCATTTAGGAATTTAAAATAGTAAAATGAGCATTGAGGAGAAGAATGACTGGCGACCGTTAAACATGGGTGACGAAATTAAGAGAAGAAAGATTAGAGTTTGAGAGATACTTTCCATAATACTTTTTTATTAATCATGACGTAAATCCCAAAGTATATAATAATGTGAAACCTAATCATAAATCCTAAACTATTTGGCTATCACCTTGGCGAGGGGTTGAGTCTCTTCTCCAGATGATGGATGGAGGATGTTAATTTATACTAGGAGATGCCATGGCAGCTAGATTTATTGTAAAACTAGGAGATGTTAATTAAGACTAGAATCAGCTAATCAGAGAAATTCCTTACAGCTAAAAAGATCCAGGTCTTTCTTTGTTTAAATCATCAACAAAATCATTCCAGCAAGGCAAAATCAGAAAATAAACATCACAGGCAAGGGTTGGCAAGGCTAAGAAATTACACTAAAGGAAACAGGAAATCATGCTAAACCGCCAAAAATGAAAGAGAGCAGCAAAATGGATCATCGTCAGAAGTTCCCAGCTGCATTTTCACGTGTTCATCACCAATCACTCTGAAACCCCAGCGGTAAGCAAGTTCACCAAATCACTTTTCTTCATCTTTGAATACCCTTTGATGCCACGGGACTTTGCCATTGCCCTAAGCTCTCCTACCTTCAATGTACTCAAATCCTCTTTGCCACCCATCTGTTCTTCTCCATCTTCTTCCTTGCTCTCATCCGAGTCAGAAGCTTCATCCTCTGATAGTTGCTCTTCGTCAAACAGATCATTACTACCCTGCAGTAGCTCTGCTGCCACAGCCTCCTCTTCTGTTGGCTCTGGTTCAACCTCATGCCTGGTGGTAGCATCAGAAGAAATTACCTCATATTCCTTTGTTTTTTCCCCAGTTGAATCCAAATGGCTCTTCAAAGCAACATCGTCCTCACTCGAATCAACAGGTGGCAATTTTACCCGAGGGATTGGAGATCGTCTTCGGAAACTTGATGGTGGTCTTCTTGTAAAGGAACTTTCACTAGATTCCACGGCACCATTCCTGCTTCTGTTATTGGAATGAACAACACTGCTTGAGCTTGAGCTTTTGTCGTCATTATATCCTCCCAAAATCTGCTCTGGCTGTTCAATTCCTAAGTCCCCATCGCTAACCTTTTGCGTACCCCCCTGTTCAACTGAATGCTTCCGAAGAAGCTTAAGGAGGGAATCAACAGTCTCGTTCTCTCTCCCTTTTCCTTGCGGGGTGTCTACCTTTTTGTCTTGTTTGACAGAAGCTCTTTCTCTGAGCTGGGCCTGCACCTTTCTGAACAGCTCAACTATCTCCTTCTCTCTTGGACCTGGAGCTGCAGTGGCTTGAGATTTTGAGTTATTGGGGAAGGAAAGCAATGCCCCATTCTTTGATGATGTCAATAGCTCAGACTCATCCAATGTTTCGTAGCTGTCTCTCTCTTCATTTTGCCTCCCCCGGTTACGGGAGTATCCCTGACCCTGTCTGCCCTGCCTCGAGTAATCCGAGTTTCTCCTATGACTGCCAGAATTTGCCTTGCACACAAAAGCCGGTGTCCCAAAAGCACCATTGTATGATCTGATCTTGACCTGAGAGAAGACCCTGCCAATCCCATGCGAGGAACAAGGAGAAACAGATACGGCTGCGGTTCTACCAGAAACTCCAGACAAGGATAGACACCTACCATCTGGTGGCCCAGAACCTACATGAACCATAAAAAAAAATTTGCTCAGTTTCACCCAGCAGATAATGAAATTTCGAAAAATTGCATCTCATATTTGAAGATGGCTTTTATATCAATAAAAATTACTAAAACTTTGATCTTGACGCCGTGGTTCCCTTTTGTATAATGCATGGTGATAATGGCTCAGTTAAATAACTTCTTTTGTTTCCCTGTATGAGCTCAGAACAGCTAAAAGAGTCTGGTTTACACTAAAAGCATGTGGTCAATCCCAGGTGACTGCAAGTTTGATTTGAAGCATCAATATGCAGTCTCTTAGACCTTCCTTGGATGACAAAACAGTGAATGTTTTCCTCTGACGATCTCTATTGCATCCATACCCCTTACATTTCAGTAGACACAAGAGAAAAATGGAAGACCCTATTGAAGTTTTTCTTTCATGAGTGAAGAATCTCAATAACTTGAATAAGCCAGCCTCACATGATACAAAGCCAAGACACCTACACGACTGAAAAGTGAACACTACTCAATAAATCATGAAGCAAAATTTCCCTAGGACAGCTGGTCTCACGTTTCAGTTCAACCACATAAAGCACTGCATCCTAGGGAAAATCACAATCTGACTAGAACAACCATACATGGACGGCACTGTATCTTGGCAGCCTTTGCTACTTATAGTAGTTCCCTAAATCATAACCAGTAGACAACAATTCAGCCAGAATTAACAACAAACTTCGTAAGGCTTCTTACATCAAGCTTGGCGTCCATTGGAGAGTTAAACTATGTCCAAGGTGACTGACGGGTAATTTCTATCTGAAGACATGAGAGGGGCACCTCTTTGAGCAGAAGGATGACCCTGAGACATTTTATCAAACACCTGGTGTTCACCACGCTAAGCGTAACACACTAACACTGACACAGCAACCTTGCGGCTGTGAACTGTGGCTAACAGCAAAACTACCAAAACATCGCTACGAGGTCGGCTGTACAGGCACATAAGCGAAGAAATTGAAGAGATTGCACCTTCCACAGTCGAAAATAAATCTAGTGAGGTTTAAAAGATCGACCCGGAACTAGGGGAAAGAACAGTCGAACCAGACAACGGCTTAGAGCTAGGACAACCATGAAAGACGAAGGTTCACTGGAGAAAAGGAACGCGCCTAGGCCAACAAAAAGCGAGCTCCGACGCAGAAGTTGCCCACATTTCCAACAAAATTCGGGTGCCACGCCGAGCGAAGCCAAGAGGAAGACTGAAGGAGGACAAAATGAAAGAGAAAGGGCAGTAATTGTAAAGAGGCACGCACCTGGGATGTTCTTAGCAACGAGATGAAGTGATTGCGACATTAGAGTGGAGGAAGTGAAGGTGGCGGAGCAATTCATTAATGGATTTTCTGTATTTCAGGAAGCCGCTTCTTCTCTCGTCATTGCTGCCGCCTTCGACCGTCGTGTGCAGAAATTATATAAGCCATTGATAAGGGACTTTTTCGGTATTTGCCTTCTTGGTTGCCGTCCGAGCGAGAGGGCGAGGCAAGAGCAGTCAGCAGCAGTCAGCAGCACTCAGCAGCGGCCGCCAATGAGCCCATGAGCCCTTAGCCTATGAGTAGAGGTGGCAATTAGGATTCAAATTCATGAATTCAATTCAATCCATCCACTAGATTATCCACTTAATTCAATCCATTTAAATTCAATCCATTTGATCTAAATCCAATTGGATTGGTGGATTTATGGATCAATCCATGGATCCAAATGGCAAATTACGATTTGGTACCTATATTTTTTAAATTTTACATTCTGGTACCTAAAATTTATATTTTTATATGAAAAATATCATTGGAAAATTACATTTTGGTACCTAAAATTTTCATTACGACATTTTAGTACCTAAACTTTTCAAAATTTACATTTTGGTCCAAGCCTTGGATGTCATTTGGATTCATGGATCAATCCACCAATCCATTAGATCCAATCCATGAATCCACCAATCCATTTGATCCATGGATCCACCTATCCAATCCACGAATCCGATCTAATTGCCACCTCTACCTATGAGTAATTCTAACACTGAAACGGCAGGTCGTATGGCATTACAGATCAGATTCATTATTTATAACCAAAAACATTTCAAGGGTAGTTTGGATGGATCATTTTTAAAATAAGACAATTTGAGGCAAAAGACTCATTTTGGAAAATGAGTCAATTGGATGGGCTAAATTGCACGTTTGGTCACTCAAATTATATAAATTTTCATGTTTGCCACCGGAATTATTTTTCTTTATAATTCGCCACTAACTTTACAAATCGTTTCATCGTTAGTCACCGACCGTTAGTCTCCGTCAAATTCAGTTAACTCTGTTAGTTTTTTGATGACGTGGCAAACGAAACTGATGACTGGACCGTTAACTTAATGACATGTAAATTTAAAAAAAAATTCAAAATAATTTATTTTACGTTGGGATCGGAGTGGCCGCTACACCCTTTTCTTCTTCGCCCATTCCTTCATCGCCGGCTTCCCAAGAAGAATCCCCAACTCAAAAAATCCACTATCCTGGGAGAAAATCAAGCTGAGCAATACGTATAAGGCACCATAGTGCTCAAATATGGTAACAAATAAAAAAAAATCTCAGGCCACATGTTTGCGATTCAGATCGATGTTGAGGAGAGAACAACAACTCCCCTTTCGCGAGATCGAAGGCGGAGGTGGCTCCGGATTTCTTCGAGATACGGTAGGCGGGTCTGGATGAAAGGAGAAGAAGGCAGTGGAGGTTATGGCTTTTTTCTCGAGATGGTTGGAGGATCTAGAGGAACAGAGAAGAAGTGTGGCGGGAGGGAGGGGATCGGTCAGGTGACTAATTCTATTGTTCAAAATCTCATATGGAATTATCGATGAGGTACATAGTTTGATAACCAATTCTAGTGGGGACAAAAGAATGCTGAGAGGAGAGCGCATTGGATTATACATAAGGAGCTAGTAACATTGAAGGAAGACGGTGCATTGGGTTTCCATGACCTAAAGAGGTTTAACCTAGTGCTTCTAGCGAAGCAACTATGGTCCATTTATCAGCGTCCAACTTCACTTATATCATGCATTGTGGCTGCCAAATATCACAACCGTAGCTCAATCTTGGATGCTTGTATGGGTAGTCTCTCAAGCTTTATTTCGAGAAGTCTGATGAGCGCGCAAGATTTCTTGTGTAGTGGGCTGACGGATTGGTTATTATTAGTAGGTGAGGGTTGGGGTGATCATTGGCTACCTAATATGAAAATGGCTTACGTACCTTATGTTCCTAGAGGACTACCGGTAGACTTGTTAGTTCACGATCTTATTGACCCCGAGACTGAGGTATGGGATGCGTCTTGGCCAATAGTTGATTTTCGACGGCCATTGCGCAGAATGTGTTAGCTATCCCATTACGAGGGAGTGATGAGCATGATTGCCTTATATGGAGCCATAGTGATTATGGATGATACACGGTAAAGAATGGGTATGAGAGGTGGTTGTTGGGTTTTAAGGCCGAGGAAGGAATTGTACCGAAAGGAGATGAGGGACTTTGGAAAGCAATATGGACAATGAAAGTGCCACTGACGGTCTGACACTTCATATGACAATTTACTCGGGAAGCTTTACCTGCAGGTGTAGAAGTGTGCACGAAAAGCGAGAAGTGGAGTGTCATTTGTCCATTTTGTAACCAGTAGGAAACACAACTACATATGTTCTTTAAGTGCAGTTGGAGTTGTCCTATTTAGCGAGGATCGCCATGGGTGAGTGCCTTCAATATGCATGGGTTACCGGATTGCCTATCGTGGGCACCAGCGTGTGTGTGCCGTAAATGAGGAAGATGATGCATTAATTGGGGGACCACCACATATAGACCACAAACATAATAAACCACAACACCAAAAAAAATCAAAAATATTTGGGATCGTTTGATTTTGGTGATAGTTAAATTAATGCATTGTCATCAATACATGCATAATAATATACATGTATATAAGAAAGCATACCACAAGCTCAACACATTACAAAATTCATAATACATACCAGACAACTCATAAAAGTTTACCACAAAGCTTAGAAAACATATCAGAATCTCACCACGCCACAAAGTAATAAACCACACCACAAATATATATAAAAAGAACACACTAGAAAACTTATAAAGCATATCATAAGTTTTTAAAGCACATCACAAGTTTCGTCAAACATACAAAAAAACTCATTAGGCATATCACAAGTTCATTTAAACATATCACATATTTATTAAAGCACAACACAAAATTCTTAACGCACACTACAAATTCCCTGAAACATACCGAAAATCTCATAAAGTCTATCACAAATTCGTTAAGCATATCACAAACACATCACAAGTTTCTTTAATAAGGCCACAAATATTCTGAACCATACCTAAAACATCACAAACCAAGCCAAACACTATAAAATACACTAGAATCATCACTGCCATTCCAGTTAATTTGGCATTGATAGTAGGGCGGTAGTTAAATCAAAATAAGAAAAATATGATTAGATATCATAAGACATAAGCAATTGATATAGAACGGAACAAGAATGGACAGAGAAATAGAGCGAGGGTACCACTGATCGAGTAATACCCATACTATCACGGCTCAAGTAAGGTAATACTCAACTCCAAATTAATATCCTTATTCATTTTGTTAGCATAGCATGTTTCCAACGTGTTTGTACCCTATCCGATCCATACACAATCATGAAAACTGGATAATCAGTAAAATCAGAATATTGCAAAAACAACTACAGATAAAAAGAGAAACTTTAACAGAGAACCACCAAGTATTCAGGATCCGAAGTCCAAACACATTGAAAAAAGTTATTTGCAAAGACACGGTACACTGTTCGCCTAGACACGAAATTCCTGTTCATTTAGACTCAGAATTACTGTTCACCTTCCTCTGGTTGGTCCCTAGTCTGCAGTTGGGCCCGTCCGCCTTTTCTTATTGGCTGCTCGCCTGTGTGTGGGCCCGACAGTTTTGCCCTCCGTTGTTGCTGTGGACATCACGTGGCCCTCGACTCCCCCTTCATATTCACTTCTTCTCTCTTTATTTCTCTCGATCCTTCTCTCCTTCAAATCGCATGTGATTCCCTCTGCCCGATAATTTTTGGGAACGTCACCACTGTGAGGAGGGAAGACTACTGTTGATGGAAAGGGTGTATCCTTCGCAAGGAAGTTACCAGGCGCGGTGTCCAATGAAGAGGAGAGAGAGTGAGGATGGTGACTTGACCCTGCTGGAGAAAAAAAAGGGCGGAGGTCTTGAGATGTCCAGGAAGCAAGAGGAAGTCTTTTCCCGATCAATTAGTCGAGAGGAGAGATCAGAAATCCCTCTTCCTTTTCACCTTCTCTCTCTTACTCACTCTGTTTACTCTAATAACCTATTTCGCTGCAAACAACCATCTTTCCCAAATCTTCTCCTTCTCTGACCTCTTTTCACCATCTTCTCCTTCTCTTTTCTCTCTTTGCGACCGCCAGAATCTCCAAAATCCGCGATGAAGCAGCCAGCTTGCTGAAGAAGGAGATCCGTCAGACGCTTCGACCGACGCTGATCCTATTCCTCTGTATCTGATTTCTTTGGACGGAGAGGAGGGAAGGTGTGTACCACGATGTTGGTGCCGAGTTATAATTGTTTTCGGGTGAGTTTTCACGATGGGTCGATGTTGGAGAAGTTACGCTTTGATTCCCTGAAGTCTCTCTCCCCGTCTCACTGCCCACGCACCGATTTCTGGGGTTCTGCTCGATTCATGGTGAGATTCGATTTGCCTGGTTTCTTTCCTCTCTCTCTCAGTGTATCTATGTCTCTCTTTGATTTGGTTGGGGTTCTTTTTTCAGAGATGCTTTTGATTGTGCCATCTTCATTGATGACCACAGGCTGCTAGGTTGAGTGGCGGATTTGAGTGGTGCACATGTGAAGAGAAAGATCTGTCGGTTCCGGTGAGCTTTCAATCTCAAAATTTTCATTTTTTGTTCTTTTTTCGGATACTGATTCCCTCTATTTCTTTTCCAGATCAAATGTTTTCGTCGTCTCCACCAGAGATATCAGCGAGGTTGTTCTCTCTCTCCTTGATGGATCCGATTCATATCTTATCGACTCCAGCCTGAGGGTTTATAGTGTTACGATTTTATTTATTTGGTCGCAGATTCACTTTTCCAGTTGTTGACCTGTGAACTTACACGCATTTCGTGTGTTTCTAAACACCCTTCTCTGTTTTTGAATTTTAGGTTTGTCATGCTCCCACTTGCTGGTGAAAGTTTTGATTTATGCCCTCCAAGGATGTACATCTGGAATTCAGAACCATGGTTGGGAGAAGAAGCGAGAAAAGAAAACTTTAATTTGAGGATTCCACGAGAGAGGGAGAACCGAAGGAAGTTGAGATCTCCTTGCTTTGTTCGTTCTTCTCTACTTCCTGTTCAACTCTCTGCCGACTTCTCACTTTCACTCTTTGGGTTTTCTTTTTCTGGTTGAGGGAGGGAGTAATATAAAGCAGGGGAGGAAGGGTGAAGGAGTGACACGTAGAGAGGTCTATGCGTTCTTCTCAGAAGAAATGGAATAGGTTGCTATCCCCATTCGATGACCCCTTTGATAATCGATTTCAATCTTTTTTTTCTTCATCTCCTGTTTGTCCAGTATGGATATTTGGACATTTGTTAACAGAGTCAGTGGCTGAGTCCCCATAATTAATATTGTGATATTTGAAGATGGTGATTTCTTACCCTCTGTTTTCCTCTCAGTGACAGGAGTGGAATATGGGATTTACATTATGTGAATGATCGCTGGTTGCAGGAGTGGAAAGATGATGGAGATGGCTAATCAGCAAGTAGCAACTCTTTTTATCAGTTGGTGCGGGGGATGTGTGGGCTGCATTCATTTATCAGGATCTGCTTTTTACCTACCCAGTGAAGTGATCAGTGCTGGCAAGCAGCTCATTTTCCCAGCGTTTGTTGTTGTGCATCCAGGTGACTGTCGTTTTTTTTTTTACACAACTTTATAGATTTCCAACTTTGCTTCTTGCTTGCTGATATGATGGTTCCTTTACAAGGCCAATACTAATCTTTATGATATGCAACGAGTTATGGTAGCGAGCTTGGTCATTGTAATTTGCTACCAAAATTGATTGATGTCTGAATTTCCTTTGTGGGAAAACAATACCTTCCATTGTTTGGTAACTTATTTGGGAATCATGCCATTTATCTAACTTATAGCATCATAGTAGCCTTATGGTTAGAAATATGTTTTTACCCAGTGATGGTTTCATTCTAAATTCACTATGGATGAAATGCAGAGGGTAATAAGATCAATGTAATAATCCATTTCTCGTGCTTTTCCCACTACCTATGTGGAATTCAATTTTTTGTTTTGGTTTGGATTTAGCAAATTTATAATTCAGTTGATTTGTTATGCTAGATATGAAATTTACTTCACACACCAGGAACCATAACTATTACGAGTACGCTGCTAACTAAGAAACGGATAGAGAGCGGGAGATGGTCAAATTCATTTTCTGGTTGCGTGATCACAGGTAGAATTACAAGTGAGTTGAATATAGTACATACTCTGCCCACATATACTTTATTTTATGCATTTGATTGACAAAATGAAGGGTTAATGGACTAGGAAAGCTGACCAGCTAAAGAAAAACCATGTTGTGCACTTTTATTGGGAAAAGAGAGCCCTTGGAGAATCCAATTGGAGCACAAAGAGGGAGGCGAGAACACCGAAGGGGGCCTGATGGACTGACTTGCAGTGTGAGAGGAGGAATGATTCCTACGGACTAGCGAGAAGAGGAGAAGAAGTGAAGTTGCACGACAGTAGCGCCATTAGTTCTTATGTTCGGAATTCATTAATTTATGTTCTTTGTACATGGCATTGTGGTACAACTCTGGGCTCTGGCACAAATGTAATTTTGGTATCTCGGTCTAATATGAGGATTAAAATTCTTAATGAAGCTTAAGGTTTATGGTTCTTATGGTTCTGTCAGTTCTTTGTAGTTTCCTTTCCATAGGTTGTATCTTGGTTTGTGGCATTTGAATTTTACTGAAATGGCGAATTGAACCGCTTCCTACTCAATCGCAGTACAATCTTGATCTCTTGATTTGTCTCATGGAAAGTGCAGCTCTGCTTAGATAGTTGCTTTCTGATGTGCTAATGTTGCGTTACTGCATAAGTCATATTGTTAGTCTTTTTTATTTACTTTTTGGTGTGCTGATGGTAGCTATATAACTGTTTACATGTGTGTATTCTTTCCAACTTTTCATTATGGTAACAATAGATTACACAAATCAAACGTATCCTGCGGCAGAGCGCGTGCTGATTACTAGTCTCTACTAATTTGCATGGCAACCTTGATATCATTGTTCAATAATATATAAAAATCGGGTTAATTACATGGTTGGTCACTGAGATTACAAAAAACGTTCATGTTTGAACACTCGAAATATTTAAATCCATTGATGGTCCCTTAATTTAGTGAAACCGTTCACGTTTGGTCACTCTCCGTTAGTTGCCGTCCATCTCCGTTAACAGAGTCCGTTGAGTGATGACGTGGCAGACGGAATCGCCTAATCAGCCCTATTTAACCCGAAAATAATGAGACCCGACTCGCAATGTCATCTAGATCAACCCAACCTTCTAACCAGACCAAACCCAATCTTTGAACTGACCGACCACACAAATTAAATCCCTAAAATCCAAATCAAATCTCCATTAACAACCTTCACATCCTTTCACACTTATCCTCTTCCAGAAAATGACCCATGGAGATTCCTTTCTGCTCCCTCCACCAAATCTCCATTTCCAGAAAATGTGCCCATGGAGATTCATTTCCGCTCCCTCCACCAAATCTCTATATCCAGAAAATGCCCAATGGAAATTCTTGTCCAGAAAAATCCCCCATGGAGGTCCTCCTCTCTTCGCTGCTATTAAGCGGCGACTGCGCCTCCGATTCCACCTTGCATCCGACCCGTGTGACATCTCAGCGGGGCCTGCGGCTACGGTGACCTGGTCTGGGCCGAGTACGGGATGGCGATGGTCGAGCTCAGCGAGTTGTTGTTCGACGTGGCTAGATCTCTGGTGCATGCTTTGAGCTCCGCTACGTCGATGACCTCCGGTTGTGCATCCGAGGGACTTCGATTATCGTCGCGGTGACAAACTTCTGCCCTCCTAATTACGGATTCCCTTCCGACGGTGGGGTCACTGTAACCCTGCCAACAAGCACTTCGTCGCTAGTGAAATATCGCACAGAGAAGAGGAAGAAAGTGGGGAGGAAGGAGGTGAACCATCGAAGAAGGGATAAGTGGAGATCTGATTTTGATTTTAGAGATTTAGTTTGTGTGGGTTGCTCAGTTCAAAGATTATGGTCTGGTTAGAGGGTTGGGTTGGTTCAAATGACATGGCAAGTATTAGTGACGTGGCGGGTCGGGTCTCATTATTTTTGGATTAAATAGGGCTGATTAGGCCATTCCGTCTGCCACGTCATCACTTAGGAGTCGTTTGGATGTGGAAATGTAATGCAGTAATTGGACCCAATTACTACATAATGCAGTAATTGGGTTAAAAATCCACATTTGGGAGAGCAAAAATAGTATGGAAATTGGACCATGGAAATTGGCTTCAATTACTACATTCATGGTAATTGAGAATACTACACCTCGCTCTAGTAATTTGACATTACCACGTTTTCTTACTTCTTTTTTCAAATTCCACACCATCAATTCCCACAAAACTAAACCCTATCCAAACGTGAATTTTATTTCAATTTCCACAAGTCAATTCCGTGGTTTTGTAAAACATGGAAATTCAGACAAATTTCAACGTTTTAAAATTTCCACATCCAAACGAACCCTAATGGACTCTGTTAACGGATATGGATGGCGACTAACGAAGAGTGACCAAACGTGAACGGTTTCACTAAACTAAAGGACCATCAATAGATTTAAATATTTCGAGTGACCAAACATGAACGTTTTTTGTAATCTCAGTGACCAACCATGTAATTAATCCTATAAAAATCCGTCCGCAAAACAACATTACACCTTACTCATGTTTTTTTTAACATCATGATTATTGATATTATACTCAATTTACGTTGAAACACTACAAATATAACTAATTAAGTGGACGAGAAGTGCACCCACAGATACTTATTGAACAAATACGGGCGAAATCTTGCCAGAATGTTGAAATGATTTCCCGATCAAGAGTTCCAACGGGAATCCAAGAACACAGGCACTAGCAACACCCAACATTCTTCCACAAATATCTCTGCGTTTCCCAGTTACATAGAGACTCTTTTGCCAATGCAAAGTCAATGTTCCTAGCCGAAAGTTCAATTCAACAGTCACCATTTGCTGTCCCTTCAATTGCTCTCCTCTTGCCTCATTAACCCTGCAGGTTGCAAGAGAGAAGCAGGCAAATTAACTTCATTTATCTCCAAATCTTTACAGGATCAAAGGCCGAACACTGAAAGACAACAGACAAGAAGGGTTTTCATAGAGACCAGAAAATGTCAGCAGCTTTGGGGCCACAATATATGTCTATGCTTTGTGATTTTTTGCCATCTCTTCAACATCCAGCTCCACTTCCAACACGGACATATCCTTTTCCATGCTGACCTCACTGGAAGAAAAGGAAGAAGACCCGTGTTAATGAAAACAGCACCATAAGACCATTGCAGTGAACCGGAGCTAATCAAACACTCTCCCACCTGTTCTGCACGGGGCCATGATCCACAGCGGTTCGCAGACAGTATATAGCACGGCCAACAATGTTTGACATTGGAACAGGACCAAACTTCCTACTGTCATTTGCCTCCTGAGGTCAAACCATTGGACAAACAGTTGACGGGAGTAAGATATAAGAGAGATAATTTGTTCGAGCACCAAAGTTTAACAAATTAGAAATGAACAGAGGCACCTCACGGAAAAAAGGGAAAATTTACAGATGGTCACCTACTTTGAATAGCTAAGCTTCTGTTAATCAGTATCCATGTATATAGAATGCCTAGAGCTTAGCTCTGAAAGTTGTGATGAAAGGGAAAATGAGTAAGCAGTGATGGCTCAATGCAACAGTAATACAGAAATGTTTTTCAGACTTAAACTAGCCACTGAGATTTCTCTATGCTCGACACGAGATGCCCACACCATAAATACCATTTTCTGCATTGAGATATTGGTGAAACAGAGAAAAGTAAGATGCATGACAACCCCTTGGACCCTTATAGAGAACAGATGACAATTTGATTGTTCCCCAATAAACCACATAATACTTGCCTCGAAACCAAGTATAAAGAAACTTTAGAAAGGGAAGAAAGGGATGCAACTCTCAAACGCAAACCAAATTGTAATTGCACATGCACATTCAAGCATAAATCCAATGAACAAAAGGAGAACATGAGCTACTGCTAAACATGAGAAGCAACTCAGTAATAGCAAGAAGAGGACAAGATGATGACGGATTCCCAAACAACACTACCTTGGCTTTCAATTTCTCATTGTCAGCCAACACCCAACACTCTTCTCTGTCAAGAACAAAGGGCTCATCTTTTTCATCATTAGACACCATCTCATACCCTTCAACTGCAGCTAATCGTCTCACAAGATAGTTGTCATCCTTGCCAGGATCCTTCAAGACCACGACATCTCCAACAAAAACTCGCCTGTCAAGGAATGATGAGTTAACAACTCAAGCAAGAATCACAATCAGTTCATGCCAAAGAAACAACCCGTGCAATAGGGCTTGCAACTAAACAACAAAGTAACAGTAAAACTATCATACTCCCTGCAGCAAAACAACTTCCCCTTCGCATTTCCTAGTCCTAGCTTCTCTGACATTTGTCTGTATCTACTTACATGCAAAGAATATTAAAATCTATAAAAATCTTTGGCTTAATTTCTAAGACACTAATGCAGTCTAACATCGCTAGAATCTGAATTCAATTAACTTGTTCTGGTTACTTTCAGTAATAAGAAAACCAGAAATTATCAGATTTACTGTCCACCCCTTTGGGAAGACAAGAGACCAGGTTTTCTACCACATGGATTCCTTACTTGATTACTTTGGGGATTACACAGAGCTCCTACCTTGCATTGTAACCGAAGTACCTCAAACTTGACTTTGACACTTAGACATGCACAAGACAATAACCAGCCACATTCATAAATAATTAAACCCCCTCCACCTACAGAGATTTTACCTCTACATCCTCCATTTTTATTCCTTCTAATCACTGTTTTTAAGCAAAGAAACAGAGGCACTTTGAGGTCTTGCTTGGAAATCTCTTCAAATGCCAGTTTTGAACAAAATAAATGGCACCGAAAGGCGGAAAATATTCCTGAAGTTTCTGCGTTGGACGCATTCTGACGAAGCCATTGGTTCTCTTTTAAAAGCACGGATAAGAAGAATCAATAATAGTTACATCACCATCTAAATAGAGATAGACCTCAGGAACTTAACATCTTCTGGTTAAATCAATCCATGTTAATTTTTGTGAAGCAGACACCCCAGTCAGACTAACAGGTTCCTAGAACACAAGGGAGAACCTTATAATAAGTCGACGACGTTTATCAGTAATAGGCAGAGTAAAGATCCTATGTCAGAGCAAAGGGCATACATAAAACTTCTACTTGGTGAAACAGAGAGCAAATGTTTCCCCTAGCGTCTAGAACTATGGAAGCAAATGAACCCTACTCATCTTAGACACATATACACAACAAATCTACTTAAGACCTTTCCGACATACCATCTCCCAGAGAAATGACATTCAAAGCCAGCTGAGGTATAGGAAATATATATTTTTAAATAGTAAGGATTAGCTAGAAGCCACTAAAAACAATATGATCTTCTATCATTACAAGTATCAGATTCCTTCCTAAGCCATATGCCTCAACAAATCAACATAAGCCCTTTTCTGGAGGACATGCCATCATCTGAGATGCAGAAAATAAATTCTCTAGCATCACGGGTCATCTACAGACGACAGGCTAAGATAGAATATGATTCTCTAAAATGTATCCAAACATGCTTTATGAACTCATGCAGCAAATAGGTGGGGGGGGTTTTTTTTTTTTTTGTAGCAAATAGGTAGTTCTTTAAATGAGGAGAAGAACAAATACGTTGGATCTGCAGCTGGCAATTTCCGGACAAGAAGTGTCCCCCCTTGGTCTCCTACTGTTGGAGCCATCTCTGCCCCTTTATTCCAGTGTAAATATGTTAGCCTTCCTTGGAACAGGTTCTTCCAAATTGTATCAGCAATTTCTGTGTCAGCAATTTGACCTTTCCCATAGTGCTGGGTCAAATTGAAAGATTATCTCAAGGTTAGGTAGCTTCAATGCACAAGTAGTCCCGGGTAAAAAGCAGTAGAACAAAAAAGCAAAGAAGAATGACAATAAACTGAAACACCTCCAAAGGAACTCATCAAAGAACAGCCATAATAAGCAAACCGATTCAGAAATCATTAGCAACAAGTATAAAGGCTAACAGAAGTTCCAACACCTAGCAACTAAAGCACAACAAGACCAGATCTCCATGCAGCAACCGCAATTTGAATTCCAATGTAGGGAATAAAACCAACACCACCCCTTGAGAAAGACCAGGAGTCTCCAAAAAGAACACAGACGATATGAATACATTCCAATTTACAAACTGCATTCAGTCCTCTCAACGATACCTAGTTTCCCTGCCCCACATAGAACAATGCTGAAGGAAATGACCATCCAGGAGGAACAAGCACTGTCAGCCAAAACACACGAGAGACCCACAAAACCTAGGAAAGAAGCTGAGATCACGTCACATTTTAGGAAGACCGTGACTTGGCCGTAATCAACAGACATCAATGGCACGCATAAACCAAGAAACCAAGCTGAAGTCGCTAGCTTTGGGACGAATTACAATCATTTAGAAGCAGATGAGAGCTGAAAGGATAGCTGGGAAGAAGTATTACTAGGCGGCGAAATGAGAACCAAAAAAACCCACAACAAACACGCAAGAAATTCCAGTCGGCGAATACACTCATAGACAAGAAAAACAAAGGAATCCCCGATTCCCATGTCGTCAAATTAGCATGGCGCCGCGCAAGTAAAGCAGGAGGAAAAATATTGCTAGGCAATCGTCGGGGAGGGACAACCCACCGAAATTGTAGATGGGTCGCAGAAGGGGGAGAGAAAGAGGAAGTACCTTACGGCTGATGGAGAGGGAGTATTCGAATTTGTTGACTAAGTAGCGGCACCAAGTCGCCAAGGAAACCATTGGAGCTGTGGAGTAGTTGGAATGGGAGTATTGTGAGTAATTCGGAGCTGCTCTCCGGCATCAACCCTTTCGCCTTTCCTGTATAAAAAAAAAAAACCCTTCGCCTTCGATAAACCCTTAGCTGTCTTTGGGTTCTGAATCTTCTGATCAACCTTTCGTCGGCTCGTCGCGCATGTCTAATTAATTGCTCAATTAAACTTTGGCCCACCGTTTAGAAATTTTTTCTTTAAATTCTAAAAATTTAGGGTTAATACCTTAGTTTGGCCCGAACTATAGACAAATTTTCTACTTTGGCCCGTGGTATAGGAAATTGCTATTCTGACCTAAACTATGTAGCATACTTTCTTATTTGGCCCGGAGGTGGGTTTGATCGTCAAATTAGACGGTCAACCGAGTTTACCGTTAGTCAAAGTCCACCTCACTTGCCACGTCAGCTATCAGAAAATAAAAATAAAAATTTTGAATTTTTTAAATTTTTTAAATTTCTAAAATTAATTAAAAATAATTTGGAGAGATCTTTTAATTAATTTTTTCGTTTATTATTTTTATTGTTAGAAAATAAACAAAATTCAAAATTAAAAAATTAATTGTTTATTCCCTGATAGCTGACGTGACAAGTGAGGTGGACCTTGACTAACAGTCAACTCGATTGACCGTCTAATTTAACGGTCAAACCTGCCTTCGGGCCAAATTAGAAAGTATGCTACATAGTTTAGGCCAGGATAGCAATTTCCGATAGCACGGGCCAATGTAGAAAGTTTGTCTATAGTTCAGGCCAAATTAAGGTATTAACCCGAAAATTTATGGGTTGTTTGGATGGATGATTGGCACATGTGATTCTGGCCCAAATGTACACAATTTATCCCTCATTTCTTATTCGTTTAGCTTAGTATTTCCTCGACATATTTCACGCTTGGTTGTGCTTGTTTTGATACATTTCAGGTCCTAGCACGTGTGGAAGGGTCGAGGACGAGTTTTGGGATAATTGGAGGTCAAAGAGTGCAAAAACCAAAGAAAAGTCCGAAGTCCATGACAATTGCCCCGTAACAGTGAAGTGAAGGCGTCCAGGAAACAACCACAGTTCACGGTCTGCTAAGACCGTGAATAGGAGGCATGGGTCGTGGACATCAAGGAGTCTAGGGCACTTACCGAAGTAACTGACGGCAGGCGAGTTCACGATCTCTAAGACCGTGAACTGGGCCATTGACCGTGAATCCAGGAGAGTGAAGCGGTGCGTTTTGGACGACACTAAGTTCACGGACGCGTTTAGGTGTTCACGGCCGTGAACTAGCCAACGCGTTCGTGAACTGGTCAATTTCGGGCAAATATGAAGACAGCAGCGGGGAGAGAGAAAGGGGGAGCTGGTTTTTTTAGAGAAATTCAATTCCCTCTCTAGGGTTTTGCCCAAAACAACCAAAAGGGAGTTCTTGTGTGTGTGTGTGTGTGTGTGTGTGTGTGTGTGTGTGTGTGTGTGTGTGTGTGTGTGTGTGTGTGTGTGTGTGTGTGTGTGTGTGTGTGTGTGTGTGTGTGTGTGTGTGTGTGTGTGTGTGAGAGAGAGAGAGAGAGAGAGAGAGAGAGAGAGAGAGTGAGTGATCTTGGAGCATCATTGGAGGCTTGGATGGATCTTGAAGACAAGGATTCAAGCCTAGAAGAAGAAGAAGATCTTGAGCTCAAATTTTTAATCCATCTCTTCTCTCTCTAGAAACTCACTCTTTTCTCTTGGGTGTTGTAGATCCCTAACTAATACTTTGTAATTACTTGTTTAGATTGAATGATTTTGTATGGGTTTGCATCAATTTGAGTATTAGAGGTGCCTTCATGGTGATTGTGCTTAGTTGTGCTTTCCAAATCTTGTGTGCTTGCCTAACCTAGATTAGAAGAAAACCACACCTTTTTAGGTAGGATTGACACGCTTGGTTTTCCTGGGCACTTTCTGCCAGCATCCCCCTTGACTCATGTTTGCATCTAGGTTGGTTGTGATTAAGCCGCTCAAACTTCGGTTTGAGGGAGAGGATCAATTTCGTTACAAATCGATCTCTAGTGAATCCATCCCATGACAAATGAATCACTAGTTGCTCGTCCTAGCGGTTCCCCTAGACTTGGTGAGTGGATCGATCCTGTGACAAATCGATCGCTAGTGAATCGATCACTAGAGCTCACCCCCGCGGTTCGCAACCACCTACACCACACGACTCCATTCAATCCAACGAGTCATGGTAGCTAGTTAAGGGGAAGCAACTCCTGGGTGAAGCTCCCTTAGTTAGAATTTTCCTTTATTTACTTTCCTTGCTTGTTTTCATTTGTAGTTTCATAGTTTTAAACCCAAAACCGTTTTGCTAGATAACAACTTAAGCGATTGAAGTAGGGGTACATGGACCAGCCCGGGTTGACAATTTAAATACTTGCCCTATACTGCACCCGACTAGAGTTTAAAAACTTGGCTCTAGTTGTGATTAATTTGTGGTGTAGTTTCGTGCGAGTCAATGTGTTATTTGGAGTTGGCCCCAATAATAGGTTTGACTCGAGAAAAATTATACAACGTTTGACATTTGTTATTCTCCAAATATCATAAATTTGTTAGATTAAATACTATTTTTTTAGCCAAACAATTTCCTCATTCCAAAATAATAGTCAAACCTTTCAAAATCTTAATTATTAGCCAATTGTTAAGTTTCCGTTAATAATTTCGTTAAATGACGATGAGCTGGCGAATATTGTGCTGACTTGGATCTTAGGTGGCTAAGTGAAGTGTAGGGAAGATGGCAGTGATAGACTAGTGGTGATGATTATCCGCAACTACGCCACAAGTTTGGCTATTATTATTTCTTATATAGGTTTTTATTTAAATGATAAGTAAAAATATATTGATGTGGATGCTGAGGTGGAATGTTGGTTAACGGTGTTAATAACAGTTGCATATGAGTGGCTAAAATTTTAGACATGTATAAAAGGTTTGGCTATTATTTTGTATTACCAAATGTTTGACTATTATTTTGTATTACCAAGATGAGGACGAGGTCGAGGTGGATGAAGCATCCACAAGTTATGAGGGCTATGAAAGCTTTCCACCCGACCTCGATGCGCTTTTGGAGAAGGACCCATTTGCGGCTCTTTGCCAAGTCAAGGCCAACCATCGGCGATCCCTCTTGGTGGATGCGATGGTGGTAAATCGATGATGCACTACATGGTATGGGGCAAAGAGAAGAGTGAAGAAAGTAAGAAGAAGAGGTCTCGTGGGTGGATCCACAAAGTCGATCAAGTTCACGAGCCCTCAATCATGGATTCGTCCAATGCTCGTGACTTGAGACATCACCTCACCGACGAGAACCTCAACTTCAAGGAGGTTCTTGGGTGGACCGAAACTTGAAGAGCAACCGTCCGGCTCACGATGTTAAAGAAGCGCTTGGTGGGAGGCAACCCAACCAACAACGTTTTGCATCTATTTTCCTTTCAATAAGATGATCAATGAAGAGATTTTGGTGGTGTTTTGCCATCTCCTTGCTCTTCCGGATCTTACCCGCCCTCATCTCCCGAGCACAAACGTTCACAACTTGACTGGTAACATCGTTCTATCCCCTTCTTTTACGCCATTGAGGGCAATGTCGAGTTTAAGTGTGGGGGGGGTAGTCCATTATGCATGTTGGTGTGAATGATTGGTGTGATTTTGAATGCTTTGGAGCCTAGATGTATGCTCAAATTTTTAAAATTCGAGGGCTCCAAGCATAACAACTTCTACATTTTCATGATCATAGTGGCATCTTGTGGTGATTTGTTTTGAATCTTGTGGTTATTAGCATGGCCTATGGATGATTTGCTTGTGATTGTGTGCAACCTATGAGGATGAGTGGATGCCCGAGACATGTATTAGGTTTGTGCATAGGTTCATTTCTCATGTGTTTGTGAACCAATAGATGTTTTGAATCGGTTACTTGCTTTTCACAGTTTCCTATGCATCGAGTTTAGGGAGTTAGAACGAATGATTGAGCACCTAGGTAGCCATGTGAGACTTGTGTCGTTCTTTTCGTTCTTGTGCAATAGATCCTCCTTTACATGATGCGTAGCATTCACGTTGTTGCTAGCGACAAAGATGGAGGCATAGGATTAGCCCACGACCCAAAAGTTGACCGACCCGATCATATTATCCCTTAGTCAACCCTTTTGAGTCGTGTGTCTAACGGTCGTTCTAGTGTTAGGTAGCTCGCGCTATTTGAGCTTGATTAATTTAGATAGAACGACCCTACTTTCTTCGTGTCTACACCTTATCGAGTCAACCTTTTGTTTGGAAGCTCCATTCATACCATTTGAGCTTAAACGAGGTTCCACTTGAGTGATTTGTGTATGGTCTTGCTAAAAAGTGAAGTGAGTGTGGAGATAGTTTTTCAAAGTGAGCATTGTTCCTTAAGTTAAAAATGTGGCATGTGTATATAGCTCTCTATAGCGGGACCAGTTACTATGACAACACTTATTGTGTTGTTATTGTAACAATACTAGTCTCCAACCAATAGGAAGCTAGGATTGTGATGACTTTTTATTAGATGAGTTGACCTAGTGTAAAATCAAAGCAGGGGTATAATTGTCATTATGAAAAATCTGTTTAAATAATAAATAAATAAATAAAAATTAATTTTTTTTTCTGCCCAAAAATCTGGTCGCCGGAATTATGCCACCGGTCGCCGGAAACTGGTCGCCGGTCACCAGAATATGCTTTTTGTCGCTGGAATATGCTATTTCTTGCCGGAATATGCTTACCGGCGTCGGAATCTAGTCATCGGGGCCGGAATATGCTAATTGACGGTCACCGGAGTTCGGTCAACGAACTTCGTTGACCGGTCAACGGACAACGACCACCAGATGTATGGTCTGCATTGTGAGATTTATGGTTTGGTTTCTCATATTTTTGTATGCCTTTTGTGGTTTGCTTTATCGTGTTTGTGGTTTGCATTAAGAAGTTTCTGGTTTGCTTTATCGTGTTTGTGGTTTGCATTGAGAAGTTTCTGGTTTGCTTTCAAAAAATTTGTGGTTTGCTTTGCAGGGTTTCTGTTTTGTTTTAATAGATTTTTGGCCTGCATTAGGACGTTTCTGGTTTGTTTTTGTGGTTTGCTTTATCGTGTTTGTGGTTTGCATTATGAGATTTCTGGTGTGTTTTTGAAAATTCTGTGGTTTGCTTTGTGGAGTTTCTCGTTTGTTTTAGTAGATTTTTGGTCTGCATTAGGACGTTTCTGGTTTTTTTTTTGTTTGCTTTAACGTGCTTGTGGTTTGCGTTATGAGGTTTCTGGTGTGCTTTCAAAATATTTGTGGTTTGGTTTATGGTGTTTCTGGTTTGTTTATGAGATTTGTGGTATCCTTTCGAACATTCTGTGGTTTCTTTACCGTGTTTGTGGCTTGCATTGAGGGGGTTCTAGTGTGCTTTTCGAAATATTTGTGGTTTGCTTTGTGCGATTTCTGGTTTGTTTTAGAGAATTTGTGGTTTGGATTAGGAGGTTTTTAGTATGCTTTTTGTGTCTTATTTTATCATGTTTGTGGTTTGTTTTATGAAGTTTCTGGTGTGTTTTAGAAATATTAGTGGTTTGCATTCTTGTGTTTCTGGTATGTTTTTCGAGACTTGTGCTTTACATTTGAAGGTTTCTAGTATGCATTTTATGGTTTGTTTTACCATATTTGTGGTTTATATTAGAAAGTTTTTGGTGTGCTTATGAGATACTTGTGATCTTCATACCAAATAACGGGATTCACCCTTTTGAGATTGGATGTTTTGAATTGTTAATCCTAAGAATTGGCCAAATGAACCAATCTGTATAATCAAAGAACACAAAGAGAGAGGGATTACTGAGGGGTTTCTATTATTTTGATTCATGGGGTTGCTAATTTGTTTTTAAGAGTATCCCCAAGTAAAGAAGCGACTTTATCGCTGAATTGTGATCTGGGTTGTTAGTTTGGTATGATGTTCAACAATGTTGAAGCCTGTGAGAATGTTTGGCAATAGGGAATGATGTCTTGACCATGATTTTCCCTTAGCATTGCTCGACTGCATGGATGGTGACGGGTGATGTTTGGTTTTCTGCAGGAGCCGCCTGTGGAATCATCTATGCCTAAGGAGTGGACCAATGAGGAGCATAGGCTTTATCTCAAATCCATGGAATCAACTTTCGTTGACCAGTTGTATGGCTACATTGATCTGAAACTCTCGAGGCAACAACAATTCGAAACCATGAGTACCCCTTCTGTTCAGGTAATTGACACAACAAAAACTCTTTCCTCCCAGTTGAGGGGAATCCAGCGGGTCTCAGAAATTCCAAACCAACCTGCGTCAGGAGTGATACAAACGAGCCCCGTCATCATCCATGAACGGCTCTGATCACCGACGGCTTCCCGAAGAACACCACGTCCAGCGATGTCCACAACAGTGAAAAGGTCATCTCGGGAAAGAAGATGACTACTACTACTTCGACAACTCATACGCAGAGACACAACATTCGGTTTCCCTCCTCGCCGCCGTAGCTGCCGATCAGAAGCCGAGGTGTTGTTGTACGCCGCCATGGATAATCTGGAACAGAAGCAAAGAAGACGAATCACGCAGCAGACGACGGTTAGGTTATCGAAAGTAATTGAGATTCACATGTCCAATCTCCGGTGAAATTGAGGCGAATAGGAAGCGAAACGAGAGAAATGACCAGATATTTTCCGGCCGGAAGGGAGGAGGAGCAGTGCCACCGATCTCGCCGTCGATAAATCCGTTTCCGGCAAAGGCGAGAATGAATACTGGCGGCAGTGGGGTTGCAGATCGGTGGGAGAGAAGAGGGATAAGAGAACGCGTGTGGTGTTTAGAATTAGTGTTTTTTATTTAATTTTTTGTTTTTTGTTGGTTTGACATATTTACCCTTGATGTTACTATAACAACACTTATTGTGTTGTTATAGTATCCGCACCCCTCTATAGCCCCCAAAGAAAAGAGAAAAGAAAAGCAAAAAGAAAAAAAATGAGATCAATAAGAGGGCAAAGAAGAAAAGAGAGTGGCCACCAAAAATATAATAAATGTGGAACATGCTCTTAGACGTGTTGCTTAGCATGCAAGCTATAGGAACACTTACATGTTGTTGACCTCTACACTCTTGTGCTTAAAATTGAATAGCAAATGTAGCAAGAAAGTATGTGTGTTATGGTTTGGTGATTGGTTGTGGTTTGGAATAGTGGGAAGTGCGGTTTTTGGTCGATGCTAGTTGCCGTTGTCTGTATGGAAGGTTCTAGTCGAAACCATAGAACCTTGTATCTTTGGTTGAAGATGTGGAACCTCATGTTATGTTTGCCACCACCCAAAAGTCCTTTTCCCCATGTCCGAGACCCTAGCCAGTCATTTGAACCCGTGTTTAAGACCTCCGGACAAGCTATCAACGACACCCATCTTGTGAACTCTAACATTTAGAGGTTATTGTCATGATAAAGGGACGGGATTGAGCGTGAATATGCACATCTTTTGCATCAAATGGTCCTGACCCCAATGGTCAAGAGTGAGTGATTCATTCATCATGTTTTGTTCATTTCTTATACCCCAGTGAGGACCTAAGTTGCTCGATCGTTCGTTCCTATGATGTGATCTTCATGCATGAGTAACTGTGATTGGTGAGTCGTCGAGGCATGTTGTGTGTAGGTTCGTGAATAATGTGAGAACTCTTCTTTTGCACAATCTCAATACAATTGAATGTCTTTTGTGGTGGTTGCCAAGATTACTTTGTTTTTGTCCGTAGGTCAGTGTCAAATAACCTTTGTGATTCATTCATTTTGTGCCCTATGACATGCCTCAAAAAAATTGTGTTGAAAAAGAAGTTGTAAGCTTACCTTGTTTTGTACTTGGTTTGCTTGGGGACAAGCAAACGTCTAAGTGTGGGGGGCGTGATTCGGGCTCAAATGTACACATTTTACCCCTCATTTCTTATTTGTTTAGCTCAGTATTTCATCGTTCCTCGACATAGTTCACGCTAAGTTGTGCTTGTTTTGATATATTTCAGGTCCTAGCACGTGTGGAAGGGTCGAGGCAGAATTTTGGGATAATTGGAGGTCAAAAAGTGAAAAAACCGAAGAAAAGTCTGAAGTGACAATTGCCTCGTAACAGTGAAGTGAAGGCGTCCCAGGAAACAACCGCAATTCACGGCCGGACAAGGGAGTTCACGGTCTCCTAAGACAGTGAACATGTACCACAAATCATGAACATCGAGCAGTCCAGCGAGGTTCCAGAAGTTACTAACGATAAGGTAGTTCACGGTCTTTAAGACCGTGAACTAGGACCATTGACCGTGAACCCAGGAAGCAAAGCGGTGCGTTCTGGACGACACTGAGTTCACAGACGCGTGTAGGTGTTCATGGTCGTGAACTGGCCAACACGTCCGTGAAGTAGTCATTTTCAGGCAAATATGAAGATAGCAGCGGAGCGAGAGAAAGGGTGAGCTGTTTTTTGGAGAAGAATTGGTTTCTTTCTCTAGGGTTTGAGCCCAAAACACCAAAGGGGAGTTCTAGTGAGAGAGAGAGAGAGTGTGTGTGTGTGTGTGTGTGTGCTAGAGTGATCTTGGAGCATCATTGGAGGCTTGGGTAGAGATTCAAGTCTAGAAGAAGAAGATCTTGAGCTCAAATTTGTAATCCCTCTCTCTCTCTCTCTCTCTCTCTCTCTATAGAAACTCATTCTTTTCTCTTGGGTGTTGTAGATCCCTAACTAATACTTTGTAATTACTTGTTTAGATTGAATGATTGTCATTGGGTATTGTTTAATTCAATGATTGAGGTATTATTCATGTTGATTGTGCATGCTCGTGCTTAGCAATCTAAGGGTTGTGCATGTTTTGTGCTTAGCATCCTTAGGTTTGTGCATGCTCGTGCTTAGCAATCTAAGGGTTGTGCATGTTTTGTTCTTAGCATCCTTAGGTTTGTGTGTTGGTGCTTAGCAACCTAAGGATTGTGCATAATTGTGCTTAACATCCTTAAATTTGTGCATGTTGGTGCTTAGCAATCTAATTAGCCACTTTAACCTAGATTAGAGAGGAAAATCCCCCCTTTTAAGGGAGACTCAATTGAGTTGGTTTTCCTTTAGCTTTTTAAGCTACCTAACTAGGTTAATTTAGGGCAAACCTCAATGTTGAATTAAACAAATTGGTTAAGCGTGATTAAGCCGTCCAACCCTTGAGTTGAGTGAGGGAGTAAGTCAACCACCGATTGCCTAAACCGAGAGGGTCGAATGACACGGCCTATAATGCTTCATGTATTGAGATATTGATATTTGACTTTTAGGGCTCGTTTGCTTCATGGATTTGAAAAATGAAGGTTTTGGTTAAAACCTGGGTTTTCCAAAACTATGGATATATGATGGAATTGCCCCCATTTGGTTTTTGGTACAAACCATCGTTTGCTATTTGGATTTCATGATGGATTTGGCATTATTATATTTGTGCTTGTATTAGGAATTTACCTTAGTGCCCTTATTGAGTATTATTTATATTTACATTATAGTTTTTGTTTAAAACAAGTTTCATCCAATAGCTTCGTCCCACTACCACAATTGGAATAAATGAACGTCATTAATCAATAACAACATCATATTATACACACAATTATATCACACAATTCCTTAAGATTTTCAATATTACAAAGTATGCTTTGCGATTAATCATGTAGTGCTTTCGTGCAATGAATAATAATAAATATTGAATGCAAAATTAATATACACTTCAAGTTGGTAATTAGTAAATGAAAGAGGATGAGTAGATGATTAGTGAAATTAGTAGGGTTAAAATTGTAAAAAGTTATCATGGTCTTTGTACCCCAAGTCCCTAACACAAATCTCACCTCTTGGGGTGGAATTCTCAAGTCCGTGGGGTCCAAAGATTTGGAACCTCAAAGTCCGTGGGCTCCACGGATTTATTCCTCCTAAATCCATCAAGCAAAAGACGGATTGTGTACAAAGTCCATGATGCTTGGTTTTTAAGTATCAAATCCATGAAGCAAACGAGGCCTTAATTTGATAGGGACTTGTCATTGTAAATTTTTTACGACAAAAACATATGAATACCCATAAACCCGTAGATACCCAACGAGTTGGGTTTGAATTTTCCAACCTAGTGAGTTTTACCCTGAGTTTTTTTCATAGATAAACCCATAGATTTAGGTTTGACAAAACCCAACCCAATCCATTGCCATCTCTATGCGCATCACTGCCCTTCTTCCATCGTCATCCCAAAATCAAAACAATAAAACCAACAAACAAAACCAACGAAGAAAAGGAGTTCCGAGTACAATTTTCATCTTTCACTCCTGTTGAGCTTTATGCTCTTCGGTCGTTGATTGGGGTTCTTGTTCGGGGCTTGCTCATGTTGGGATCTTGTGTTGGTAGCTTGGGAGCCTCATCGCGCTCTGTTTTGGTGGTTGATGCTCCCGGGATGGTGGTTTCATCTTTTTGGTGTAGCCATTCCTTACGTCTCCCCTTCCGATCTCCCTTTGCTGTCTGTATGCTGCTTGGTTGTTCATCGGATTGAGGTGGGTAGGGTCTCCTTTAGGTGGTTTTGGCTGTTGTCCGGTGTTTCCTCAGAGTTTGGGGGGCTCGATTTCGATCTTCTTCTTTCCATGGATTGACCACTCTGCCTCAACTCCCTGTGCATTTTTCAGCTCAGAGCAATCTGTTTCACATCCTTGCTCACCGCCATGTAATTTCATTTCTGAGATTCACTGTGTTGGATGCCTTTGAGTTTTCCCCAGAAGGCGACTTATGACATTGCTTTGCTCAATCGTCATGGTCTTCGGTGTGATCGGACGAGCTGATCTTGATCTTGTTACTACTCTGTTTGGTTCGAATGCATGAGAGGTTTGGAATGTTATCATTTTGGATCAAGTGTTTGGTCCCTTTGGGCGGTTGATTTCACTCAGTGTTTTGCTCTTATTTGATGTTTCTCTCAAGCACAGTTTGTGTCAACTGTTTGCTCTGAGGTGCCTGTGTTTGGTTTGATTCGATTGTTTTTCATTTTCCCTCTCTGTAACCCATCATTCATAGTGCAATGCAAGATTTTTCACGGTAAAAAACAAAAAAAAATACAATTTTCCCCGCTAGTTTTCGAAAAGAAAAACTTCTATAAATTACAACACACTAATTAATATTCTCCCATAGAGGCCTGCCCTGCCTTCCTCCCTCCCTCCCTCCTATGTGATAATTATTAATTAGCTTAACTACATGCGAGGTTAGCGGCGGAAAACTGCTGGGCGCGGCGAGCGGCGGCGGACTCAGAGACGAGGCCCTGAATGAAGAGGGTCTTGACCTGCCAGGGAGAGAAAGGGAACCTGGGTCGCCTGGAGTAAGAGTTGAGAAGCGCCGCCGTTCCCTGGTGGAGCAATCGCACGAAGGGGTTGGATGCGCCGTCGTTTCGGGTGGCGGATTCGAGGAGGGTGAGGTCAGATCTGAACCTCTCCAAGGCTATGGGCCCGAACACGTTTGAAACCGACGCTGTCTGGGGGACCATCCGAGGCCACGCCTCCGTCTTGCTGCTCCAGAACCTGAAAAAAATAATTTAAAAGAGATGATTGGTAGCTGTAGAAGAAACCGAGAGGGCAGGGATAGGGGGGAAGTGGTTTTATCTTACTGGGGAGTGCAACGTCCTCTGGTTCGGGTGTAGAGGAAGCCGGGTCGGGCACCTGCGGCGGCGGCGGCGGCTGAGGAGTATGTGAGGCAGATGAACGTCAGGAGGAGGAGTGGGAGTAGGATGAGAGCACCGGAGGAGCGACGAGGGTTTCCCATTATCTCGGTTGCTGGGTCGGGTGGGCGAGGGATTAAAATCTGGGGAGGTACATTTGGAACTGAGAGACAGAGTGAGAGAGAGAGAAGGGAGCAGGTAGCTGCTGCCTTGGGACGAAGGAATTCAAAATTTTGGTCCCTTGTTTCTTGTTGCTTTGGGTTTTGCTTCTTTTGAGGGACGGAACGGAACGTGGGTAACGTGGCTGCTGCCTGTGTGATGGGGAGTGGTGCACACTGCAGCGCAGCAGAGGGATTGTCTGTGTGCTTTATGATGTTACTATTCTCTTCCTTTTGTTTTCCATTTTTCTTGGGGGTGGAGAGGATCTTCAGTCCTCAGGCACCTTAATAGCAACAACCACCGCGGCAATGCCTTTTTCTTCCAATTATGGTGCAGGGCAGTTTCTAATCCCTATCCGTGCGAGTTTTTGCTTAGTTTGAATTCGTGGGTCGTTTGGATGCATTATTTTGATGAGATAATTTGGTCGAAATAACTTAGGGGTCGTTTGGATGTGGAAATTTGAAAACGTTGGAATTTGTCTGAATTTCCATGTTTTACAAAACCAAGGAATTGACTTGTGGAAATTGAAAAAAATTTCACGTTTGGATAGGGTTTAGTTTTGTGGGAATTGATAGTGTGGAATTTGGAAAAAGAAGTAAGAAAACGTGGTAATGTCAAATTACTAGGGGGAGGTGTAGTATTCTCAATTACCATGAATGTGGTAATTGAAGCCAATTTCCATGGTCCAATTCCAATACCCTTTTTGCTCTCCCAAACGTGGGTTTTAAACCCAATTACTGCGTTATGTGGTATTTGGGTCCAATTACTGCATTGCATTTCCACGTCCAAACGACCCCTTAGAATGAGGTATTTCAATCAAAATAACTCGTTTGGCAAAAGTAAAGTAGAATGTGGTATTTTGTCCATGAGTCAATTGAAATAACTCATACCTACCCACCCCCTAGTTATTTCAAATACCTCATCTCCCGATTTCTTTTTCCACTTCATCTCTTCTTTAAGTGGTAAAATACCACAATATTTGAATGTTTTATCCAAACAAGGCAATTACACCAATTACCACATTTCAAAATGAAATACCACATGAAATGCCACATAGCAAAATAATGCATCATTTGGATTCGAAATACCATAGAACCAAAATGATGCATCCAAACGACCCGTCGATTCGTTTATAAATTTTTTTAGCTCGAGCTCGATTCGAAATTGAATTTTGATCATCCAGCTCGAGCTCGACTCGATTAAAAATAATCCAGCTCGAGCTCGGTAAATGCTCATTAATACAGCTTGTCAAGCTGAGTACAAGCTCGGCTCAAGATAAGCTCGATTTGAAACCATTCTTTCTGAAAAATGTGTACAAATAAGAACATTAGAAATTAAAAATGATAAAAAGAACACTAGAAATTAAAAATAACATCGAACTTCCATACACATCCTTATTAACAAGATAGTTTTTATGTTCAGAATAATTAATCCTTCAACTAGGTTTAAACAAGCCAGCTCGCGAGCTTAGCTCAACAAACCACCGAGTCAAGCTAGCTCACGAGCTTATCAAGCCGAGCATGGCCTAGCTCAAGCTTGGCTAACCGAAAATCATTTAACACATGCGGTTATTGAGTCGCTTACGATACAACAATAATACGATCAAGTATAATCATAGAATGAAAATTTAGAATAGTGGGTAAGTTTTACGTTGGGTTGCCTACTCCGTTATTATCTATTATCTAACGGGGAAAGTTGAGTGAAGTGTTCAAAGCAAATTAAATAGAAAGTAGTAAATGTTCTGGTTTTCAAGTTCGAGAAGGAACCACTCAGGTAATGATTCCTCCTAGCCTGCAGTTAAGTCGAGTTGTAATTCACATAGTCCAATTCAATTCATATTTATATTGCGGAAGATCCGGACCTAGTTTGGAATATCTTAATATGACCAACCCCTCTAAGACACGTTACCCGGTAGGCGACTAACCTTCATCGAGATAATGTGCTAAGGCAATACAAACAGATCTTCTCTACTAGAATGAATCTAGTAGAGAGTAATGAATCGACTGACTCTCGTACAATCGATTCACTACTTCCAAATCAAGATGCTCTTTTGACCTATTCAGATTCTATCGTTCTAGGTCAAAGCAGGAAACATACAAGTGTGATCAAGACTCATAGATTTATGAATAAACCTCAATTGGATATATAATCATCAATGTACTGAAAATGGTTCATATAACTGTTCCTAACATGCAAAACTAGGGTTCTTCATACTCAAGTGGTAGAGGAGAGTTTACTCCACCTAATGAAAATATGCTCCAGGAAATTGGTACGCCGAGGGTTGTAGATCGAGCTCCAATGTCTTCAATTCGCTCCAATCTGTGCCCAAGGGTGTTCTTCGTCCCTTTCTCTCTCTAGGGTTCTCTCTCGCCCTTTTGGTACTTGAAAAATCGGATTCTGAGCCAACTTCCCCCAGCTGCAACCTAAAAAACCCGATGCTGGAATCCATGGTTGCCTCCTTGAAATCCCCGGTAGTGGAAATTGGGAGTCAGACCGTGGATTTCCTCTGAGTAAAAAGCACGGTCCATTCATTGAATCCACAGTCGTGGATTTGAGGCATCAGACCGTGGATTTGGCTATTGTGGCCTCCGGTTTCCGTTCACTCTCCAGTTGCACCCAGACTTGCTTCTCAGCCTCTATTTACGTGCCAGGACATGAAACATCATCGCGAAGAACTTCCTAGCGTAAAATGGGCCAAAAAGCAATCAAGAGCTAAGCCAGACAGTCAAAATATGTCGGGAAAAACATGTGTAAATATCGCGTCATCAGTTATCGGTGGTAGTTATGGAAATTCGAGATGTCGGATGATCGTCCGATTATCGATGAACAATCGATCATCGATCTGTGGCCTAGACTAACCTTGAGACACTACATCGTCTTTCATACAATCCCTCCCACATCGCGGCTCGGAAGCTGAAGTTGACATAGGCCCCTAGCAATCATCATTTCAACATCTTGCCCCTCCTCCCATTTTTACCCTGAACCCCCCCAAATTCATCCAATTGAGGAAACAAGGAGGAACACTTACCCTGCTGTTGCTCATCTTCAATATCTATTTGTTCTCATCTTCTCGACCTCGTCATCGGCTAGCCATCGTTGTCTCATCGCACCTCGTCAGTCTTCGAGATGCCCCATCATCGTCGTCGGCTGACTGTGAATCATTCTCATCTTCTCGGCCTCTTCATTGCCCAGTCGCCGCAGTAGTCGGCTCATTATGCCACCAACATCATTTTAACTGAGAGAAAAGTAAAGAAGTGAACATAACGGTAACAAAGTTTATTCGCTAATGATTGAAATAGATCTTATGTTTGAAGATGATTCGTTACCCAAACTTATAGCTATAGCGACATATAAGTTTTACTTGTACTTTGTTAATTAGTGTTGTTAGTTATGAGCTTTTGGGATGGAAAATGTATCCACAATTATGGATATCCGCTGATTCGTGCCTAATTGTACACTTTTTATCCCCATTTCTCTATGACGTTTGTTGAAATTGAGCTTCAGAAAGGGTGGTTTTACGCTATGTTTCTTGTGTTTTGGTGTGTTTCATATCCTAACAAGTGAAACCAACCCCGGAGTCAAAAGTTGAAAGAAAAGGAGCAAAGACCAGGCAAAGAGGAGGAGACAGCCTGTGTTCACGGTCTGCGAGCCAAAATCCGTGAACCAAGGAGCATCCAGAGAGGGTTTTGAGGTTACTAACGCCAAGGATGTTCACGGTCGCTAAGACCGTGAACTGAAGCCACAAACCGTGCACCCAGGAAGTGAAGTGGTGCGTTTTGGTTCAGCATGCTATGTTCACGGACGCGTTTTGGTGTTCACGACCGTGAACTCAGGCCGTGAACTGGGCTCGATCTCAGTATAAAGAGTCGGCTGAAAGGAAGAAGAGGAGAGAGATCAAGTGGGAGAAACTTCTTCTTCTTCAACTTCTAGAGTGAGAAAGTGACGAACCAAAGAAGAGGAGGAGCTAGGGTTTCATCTCCAAGCAAGGAATTGGGAAATCCCCCCCCCCCCCCCCCCCCCCCCCCCCCCCCCCACATAGAAGGATCTTTTCATTACAAGGAGCAAGGCTTGCATTTTCTTGATGGTTTTCCTTCTTCTCTCTTGTGTTTTCCCTTCGCCTAGCATGGAGTAGTCCCTTCTTTCACTTGGGTGTTTGTAAACCCTAGCTACAATTATGTGAATGCTTGTATGAATTGAATGATTTGTGGGTGGTTGTGTTTAATGTGAATGTGGAGGTATTATTCATGCATAATTGTGTTTTGAGAAATCCTATCAATCTAATTGCCATTCTAACCTAGGTAGAGAGAAAACCCCCTTCCTTTCTTTGAAAGAGGCTTGAATGTTGGGTTTTCTTGGGTAATTAGTTGCCTCCTAATTAGGTCAGTGCATGGCAAATCTCCTATTCCGTATTAGCACTTAGGGTTTGGTTGTGGGTGGCCGTCCAAAGTCCAATTCGAGGGTGAAGTCTAACAATTCTTTAGTAAATAGGTTGAGAGGGTTGCATTAGTGGCTTGGATCGTATCCTATTCCCTCGACCTAGAGACTAAGAGGGTAGCTTTGGATACTTGTTGGACAACCATTCCTTAGTCAATAGGCCGAGAGGGTCACATTAGTGGCTTGGATCATATCCCATTTCCTCGACCTATAAACAAAGAGGATAGCTTTGGCTACTTGTTAGACTTTCCTGCGGTTTATAACCTCCTAACCACACACGGTTATTCAATCCTTCAAGTCGTAATTGTTAGCTGGGGGAGCAACACCCAGGTGAAACCTTCTCAATTAGTGTCAAATCCATTTTACCTTTGCAAAGTAGTTTAGCTTTAGACCTTTGTTTTCACCAAAACTAATTCGCTAGATAATGTTTCAAACAATCGAAGTAGCGGTACATGGGCTGGCATGGAGGATCATGCATGTTTGCTGATTGCCACCTCTTTCGCCCGGTGTCTGGGGCGGAACAGGGTGGACACCATGCACATGGGGGGCTTTATCATGAGGCTGTCCCAACGCTTTCATGTGGACTTGAGAGGTGCTCCATCGTCAGTCGGACCGAGCCCTTCGCTGTGGCGACTCTCTACAACCAGATGCTAGTTTTAGGGGAGAGTGGGGGATATAATACCTCGAGGGGCTCCGACCCTCAGGACTCATGATGCCAGCAGTTGACCCGGCTCCAGTGGAGCCCAACGTAGAGGTCCCACCTCGAGAGCAGCCACCTGTCGAGCTCCTGGGCACCGTCGGTGTCCCGCGCTCCAGCGCTCTGCACCAGCAACAACAGCATCACCATCAGGTGTCGATCCTTCCACTTACGGGGTACCCCTCATGGAGAGGATGGACCGTCTTG